GCATCTTCAGCAGGGTCAGCAGCACCGTGGACTGGGTGTGGGCGGCTTCCACGCCCTCCTCACTGTGGTGGAACTGGTGGCCCAGGGTCATCTTTGATAGCAACAGAGAGACCCTGGGGAAGAGGGTCCCAGCCAGTCAGTTGCAGATGCTTCCCTCACGGGGACAGAGGTCCGCGCGGGGTCCCCAAATTGGTGTCCTGGGTCCGTCCCAGGCCCTGGGCCTCGTGCAGCCCCACGCTGCCCCCTGGTGTGCGCTACTGCGAGGTGCAGCGCGTCCGGCCCAGTTCTGTGTGCGGCACCCCATTGCGCCTGGCTCCAAAAGGCGACCACTGCCAGGTTCCAAAAATACTGGATAAAATATATATATATATAATGTGTGTGTATATATATTTAAGATGTTATATATAAAATAATTTATATAATAATTTGTATATTATATATTATATGTAATATATTCATATCTTTTATAAATATATAAATATTTATTTAATTTTTTTATGAGACAGAGTCTCACTCTGTCACCCAGGCTGGAGTGCAGTGGTGCGATCTCAGCTCACTGCAACCTCCGCTTCCCAGGTTCAAGCAATTCTGCTGCCTCAGTCTCCTGAGTAGCTGGGACTACAGGCACACGCCACCACGCCTGGCTAATTTTAATTTAGTATTTTTAGTAGAGACGGGGTTTCACCATGTTGGCCGGCCAGGCTGATTTCGAACTGACATCAAGTGATCTGCTCGCCTTGACCTCCCAAAGTGCTGGGATTACAGGCATGAGCCACCGTGCCTGGCCTTGTTCTCTTTCTTTTCCGAGAATTCCCACAGCGTGTGTGTTAGCACTGCTGAGAGTGTCTCACAGCTCTGGACCATCTGCATTTCTGGACCTGGTGCAGATCCCAGGATGCTGGACTCGGATTTGATGCCTTACAGTGGAAGGGGGTTGAGTATATTTTTTATGTGGGAGGGGTGTGGACTGTAGTGGCCAGAGGAAAGACAGTGGCAAGGCATTTCCAAAAGTGGCCACCAACAGTTCCTCCCACAAAGAGAAGGGGCTTATCTCTTCTTCTCTGCAATATTCTGCGACCTTCTGACTTGCTCCGAACAATAGGATGCAGCGTAAGTGATATTCTGGGACTTCCAAGCCAGACTCAAGGGCCTTTGGCTTCTGTTTTCATGCTCCTGGAACTCAGCATCCATGGAAGGAAGTTCTTGGCTTCAACCCAAGGAAGGGAGGCCCCATGAAGTCCGGGAGGCCCAGCCAGCCCCTGGCCACTGGAGCGCCCAGCTGAGGTGCAGGACTCTTGAGGGCTGCCACTGTATGCTGAGCATCCAGGCGAATGCAGTCCCACGAGTGATCCCACGTAGTGGGATCCTACGTAGAACAGAACGACTTCTCAGCTGGGCCCCAGACAATCCACAACACTTTGAAAAGTAACACTTCTTATGGGTGTTTTGTTTTTTGGGTTGGTTTGTTTGTTTTAATGGAGTTTCACTCTTGTCACCCAGGCTGAAGTGCAGTGGTGCAGTACGGCTCACTGCAACCTCTGCCTCCCAGGTTCAAGTGATTCTCCTGCCTCAGCCTCCTGACTGGGATTACAGGCACCCGCCACCACACCCAGCTAATTTTTGTATTTTTAGCAGAGACCAGGTTTCACCAGGTTGGCCAGGCTAGTCTCAAAACTCCTGACCTCAGGTGATCTGCCCACCTTGGCCTCCCAAAGTGCTGGGATGACAGGCGTCAGCCACCGCGCCCGGCCTGTTTTTGTGTTTTAAAAGCATTTTATTTTGACATAATTATAGATCCAAAGGAAGCTGCAAAAATAGCAGAGTCCCGTGTACCTCCACCAACTTCTCCCACTGCTGCATGGCAGCAAAACCTGAAAACTGACATTGACTTGTTACTATTAATATACCAGTTATGCTTGGTGCATATTCAGTTGTCACCACTTTTTAAATTAAAATGAAATTCACATACAGTTAACTATTTAAAGTTATAATTCAGTGGCAAGTAGCACGTTCACAGTGTTATGCAACCATCACCACTGTCTAGTTTTAAAACATTGTTGTCACTTCCCAAGGGGAAAACATGCCTCCCCATTCCCTTCTGCCCCTAGGCCCTGGCAACCACGAACCCACTTTCTGCCTCTGTGGCTACACCTCTTGTGGATATTTCATGTGTTATCAGAAAAGGGTCCTGATCCAGACCCCAAGAGAAGGTTCTCGAACCTCGAGCAAGGAAAAATTCAGGGCAAGTCCATAAAGTGAAAGCAAGTTTATTAAGAAAGTAAAGAAACAAAACAACCGGGCGCAGTGGCTCATGCCTATAATCCCAGCACTTTGGGAGACCGAGGCGGGAGGTCAGGAATTCGAGACCAGCCTGGCCAACATGGTGAAACCCCGTCTCTACCAAAAATACAAAAATTAGCCGGGCATGGTGGCACGCGCCTGTAATCCCAACTACTTGGGAGGCTGAGGCAGGAGAATCACTTGAACCCGGGAGGCAGAGGGTGCAGTGAGCTGAGATCATGCCATTGCACTCCAGTCTGGGCGACAGAGCAAGATTCCGTCTCAAAACAAAAAAGAAAAAGAACAATGGCCACTCCATAGGCAGAGCAGCAGCATGAGCTGCTAGACTGAGTATACTTATAGTTATTTCTTGATTATATGCTAAACAAGGGGTGGATTATTCATGAGTTTTCTAGGAAAGGGATGAAGATTTCCCAGAACTGAGGGTCCTTCACCTTTTTAGACTACATAGGGTAACTTCCTGACGTTGCCATGGCATTTAGAAACTGTCAGTGCGCTGGTGGGAGTGTCTTTTAGCATGCTAATGCATGATAATTAGCGGCTAATGAGCAGCGAGGATGACTGGAGATCACCGTGGTTGCTGTCTTGGTGCAGAAGCAGCTTCTCTATAGCATCCTGGTTGCAGCTTCTCTATAGCATCCTGTTTTATCAGGAGCGTCTTCGGGACCCGTATCTTGAACCTGTACCTTGCGCTGACCTCCTGTCTCATCCCCTAAGAACGCCTATCCTCCTGGGAATGCAGCTCCACAGGTCTCAGCCTGGTTTTACCCAACCCCTATTCAAGATGGAGTTGCTCTGGTTCCCACGCCTCTGACATGAGTCATGCAGTATGTGGTCTTGGGTCTGGATTCTTTCACTTAGCATATAATGTTTCTAAGTTTCATCATCTTTTCTGCAAATCTGAGACTATTCTAAAATTTCAAAGTTTATTTTTAAAAATTGAGAGCTGGTAAGCTTTGCCCCTTTCCCAGTTGCCTCCTGGAGGCCACCTGGAGGCCGCTCCTCCCTAGGCTGGGGTCGTGCCCTCGGAGTCCTGTGGCCATGAGCTCCTTCTTGTCACTCAGATTAGTGGGACGGCCCCGCAAACCACACTCCCCGTCCTAAGCCCGGCGCAGTTGCATGGGCTGCGGACTTAGCACCAGCTGACCTGGGCGGTGGCCCCATGAATGCCTGGCAGCTGGGAGCCAGGACAGCCCCGACGCCTTCCGGTCAGGGAAGCCCCGCCCCAGGGCAGGAGGGGAGCTGGGGACTCAGTGGGAGACTCATTCCGAGGCTAGGCTAGGGGCAGCCCCGCGCTCTCTGAGTTTCAGGATGGGCCCACCAGCGCCCCCAGACACCCTGCTGCAGACTGGGTCGTGCACCGCGCGGGGAAGCGATCCTGAGACCCGCGCACGTGCATGCACGTGTGCACGCACGCCTTGGTGTGCACAGTTCTACACGTGCACTGCTGTGTTTCCACGTGGAAACACAAACACAGCGCTGCGGAAGGAAGCGCCTGCCAGCGCCAGCCTTTCCTGCGACCCCAGCTCAGCGACCCTGGGCTGTCCTGGGGCCAGCCTGCTCCGCCGCGGGGGACACCACTCGCCCTGGAGCTCGGAACGCGACCCCAGACCCAGGCTGCGGGGCGGGCGAGCGCCTCCTGGGCTGGAACCTGGCGGTGAGGACCCCGCGGGTTCGGCCTGGGCGTCTGGGGAGCTCCTGTGCCCGCACGGTGTCCCCTGCTCCGCCCCTTGCGCGTCACTCGCCCCCTCCCCCCGTAGTCCTGAGGCTAGGCAAGGGGCAGGACCCCGCAGCCGCCTTCAGTGCGTGGTTTCTTAGCCGCGGAGCGATGGGGGACCCGGGGCGGGGCCGAGGCTGGAGGGAGGCGGGCGGGGCCAGAGCAAAAGCGGGGACCAAGGGCGGAGCCAGAACCGGGAGTGAGTCTGGGGGCGGGGCGCGAGGCTCGCGGGGCGGCGGCGCCCCCTGGCGGCTGAGCCCGTCCCAGGCACCGGGCGGAACGTGGGACGCAGCTGTGCCTCGATGGCCCGGCGGGTAGGAGCACAAGGCCCAGGAAGGTGGCGGGGCCGGGGCCGCACAACCAGGCACCTCCCCTTCGCGCGAATCCAGTGCTCTGAGCTCCACTCAGGTGGCTCCCTGGGACTTTCCCTCAGAATGGCCAGAGGCTGCAGCCCTCCCCGGCCCCTTTCCTTCATCTTCAAGCTATTCAAGGGCATCAAAAAGGGCACTGACCAAGCGCACCACCCAGCGCAGTGACCACCCCTGGGAACTCCCGTCACTACCTTCTGGGCTGTGCACAAATGACCTGGTTTCTGCAGCAGCAGCGGCGCACTCGGCTGAGCCCCCAGGACTGGCAGCAGCTGCAGGGCCTCCAATCCCTGGCCCTCTCCCCAGGGTGCAAGGCAGGTAAGGGAACTGACTGCGCACTCTTCACACAGACGCTTATTAAAGGAGATTTATTTTTACTGCAGCTCTTTCTGCCCCTAAACTGTCCAAAAACAAAGACTAGGAAACAGCCCGAGCAGCCTCCACCCAGCCCGGCCACAGGGCCTCAGCTGCCAATCAGAGCCTCAGCCGCCAATCAGAGCCTCAGCCGCCAATCAGAGCCGCTCCATGGCTCCAGTTCAGCTCAGCTCAGCGTTGCCCGGGAGAAAAAGGCTCGGAGACAAAGCCCAGAGGGTGAGCAGGGGCCAGCCCCACGGGTCTGAGGGTGCCAAGCGCACCCTGGGCCTTGCCTCCTCTCCCAGAACTCCCTCGCCCTCTTCATCTGCACCGGCGTCCCTGGCCGCTGTCCCTTCATCCCGGCAGGAGGCCGGCCTCCCTCTCCACCAGCCGGCTGACCGTGCGCAGGGCCAGGGGCAGCGCCGTGTTGACATCGCGGTGGTATCGGGGGCTGCACACCTCTGTGCTGGGTGTGAGCACAAACTGGGCCACACTGGGCATCTTCAGCAGGGTCAGCAGCTCCGTGGCCCGGGTGCAGATGGCTTCCGCACCCTCCTCGCCGTGCATGGAGCCAGTGGCTGGACTCTGAGTCAGGGTCCTCATCTTTGACAGCAACAGAGAGGCCCTGGGGAAGAGGGTCCCTACTGTCAGCTGCAGATGTTCCCCTCCCAGGGACAGGGGTCTGTGTGGAGGGACCAGGCCCTGAAGCGCCCAACAATGGCTTTAGCTCAGCAGGGCCCACTCAGGACCTGCGCTGCTGCCACCATTTCAAGACACCTGGACGGGAAGACCTCAGAAGCCACATCTCTTCCCCAAGAAAGCCCGAAGACTTCTCTCCCTCCCCGACCGGGCACCTGGGGATCAGGTCTTGGCTCCGGGAGGCCAGCTTCGTCAGGGTGGTCATCAGCACGGTGACCACCTTGGGGGGACACCTGGGCAGGGCAGCAGAGGGGCGGCACTGGGTGACCTCGAACAGCAGGGCCTCCAGGGCTTCGAAGAACTTGTTGATCTGCTCCACAGTGCACCTCCGATCGTAGGCCACGGATAGGTACTCGCCGACGGCCCACACCTAGGCCCGGGGACAGAGGTCAGCCTCCACCCAGGCCTCCTGGGTCAGGAGCGGCCAGGGGAGGCCAGCGCCCGCCTTACCACACTGGTGACGAGGCTCGCCCTGCTGCGGAGGCCGTTCACGCTGCCCAGGAACTCCAGCAGGTCTCTTGCCAGCTCCACCACCAGGGAGGGCTTCAACGTACACAGGGCCAGGAACTGGGAGCTCAGCACACTGCAAAGGGAGCCGGGTCCATGCCTGCTCCATGCCTGCTCTGTGCAGACTCTGACCCCATCCCCACGCAGACTCCGTGCAGCCCTCTCACCCGGTCCCCACGCCTCCTCCACGCAGACCTCTGACCCCATCCCCACCCCAGCCACCCCTTTCAGGCCAAGGGCCTGGAGGGACCCGGGAAGCGTGTGAGTGGCAGGTGCAGGCTGCACCCTCAGATAGGGGGACGCAGATGACTGCCAGCCCTAGAGGAACTGTTCTCCTCACTGGGGAGAAGGCTGGCACTGGCGCTGGCCTCAGGCCCGGGCTCAGAGTAGAACTAGGATGGGCCTGCGTGCATCAGGCCTTTGGAGAGAAGGACCCCAGGGGACAGGGTGTGGAAGAGGGACTTGAGCCAACCCTGAAGATGACAGGCTCGGCAGAGGGAGGGACAGGGGAATGTTCTTGAGAGGCAGAGAGGAAGCACCGGGGCTGGACATGGGGCTGTGGGTGGGGGTGGCAGGGTCTGAGGCTGCTGAGGGCCCACCTAGGAATGGAGCTGAAGCCACTGAAGGGGAAGGGGAACGGGAAGGGAAGGGGGAAGGGAAGGGGAGGGGAAAGAGAAGGAGAAGGAGAGGGCAAGGGGAGGTGAAAGGGAAGGGGAAGGGGAGGTGAAAGGGAAGGGGAAGGGGAGGTGAAAGGGAAGGGGAAGGGGAGGTGAAAGGGAAGGGGAAGGAAGGTTGAAAGGGAAGCGGAAGGGGAGGTAAAGGGAAGGGGAAAGGGAGCGTGAAAAGGGAAGGAAGGGGGAGGTGAAAGGAAAGGGGAAAGAGGAGGGAAAGGAAGGGAAGGGGAGGGGAAAGGGAAGGGGAAGGTGAAAGGGAGAAGGGAAAGGGAGTGAAAGGGAAGGGAGGGAGGTGAAAGGGGGAAGGGGAAAAGGGAAAGGGGAAGGGACGGTAAAAGGAGAAGGAGAGAGGGGTGAAGGAAGGGGAAGGGGGAGGTAAAGGGGAGGGGAGGGAAGGAAGGAAAGGAAAGGGAAGGGCGCGGGAAGGAGAGGTGAAAGGGAAGGGGAAAAGGGAGGTGAAAGGGAAAGGGAAGGAAGGTGAACAAGGAGGGAAAGGAAGGGGAAGGAGAGTGAAAGGAAGGCGGGAAAGAGAGTGAAAGGAAGGAGGGAGGTGAAGGGAAGGGGAAAGGAAGGGAAGGAGAAGGTGAAAGGGGAGACGGTGGCAAGGGGAGGGAAAGGGAAGGGAAGGAGAAGGTAAAGGAAGGGGAACGGGATGAAAGGGAGGAAAGGAGGGGGAAAGGGGAGGGAGAAGGGAGGGCTAAGGAGGGATATGAATGGGAAGGAGGTGAAAAGGGAAGGGCGCGGAAGGGGAGGTAAAGGGGACAAGGGAAGGAGGGGAACAGGAAG